ACGCCTTGAAAACAGAAGCTAGATTTGAAAGGTTGTATTATACCTTTCTGCCACTAATTACTATTCTCTCCAATTTAACAGAACCCCCTTTCCTCTAGTTTTTTCCTTTCTCTTGAAGATACGTGTTAGTGTTATTTGTTATTTACTGAATTGAATGCTTTGTGCCCCGTAACCACCCCACCCCCAAAAGGAAATTTTTATGATCCTGTTCCAGTGAAATTAGAGTTGAAATGAGCTGAATGGAAACCATCAGGAAACTATACGTTTATACCGGCACACACATCCCAGAGTTGTGTTATTTTCTCTATTGAAAAATAAATCCGCGATTCTCCTCCTTGGAGTAAGGGAGTAATGGCAATAGAGGTGCCTTCTGGGAACTGGCAGTCTTGACGCTGTAGAGCAAGTACAGCAGAAGAAAGAGAAGGACGAAGCAGCAGCGAGAACAGATGGGTTCCTCGAACAGGTCCGCGTTGTATTGGATGTTAGGGAAGAACGAACGCTTCTGGTTTACGCAAAGGAACGTCCTTCATAGTCTGTGGCCCAAACAGAGAGGTGATGCCTAAGTCAAGATGTTCATTTTCACTGTTGTCCACATAAACCTGGATGTTACGCAGGATGCTAGTTTCCAGTCGAGAAAGGCGGTGCTAGCCTTTTAGCTCTCCATTCCATCATTCGTCCCAGTGGGCACTCAGGTGGCATGGGAGGTTAGCCATGGAGCTCTTCATCTCAAGGTCAACTGCTTAACCCGTCAGCCGGAGGGAGAAAGCCAGCACAGAGTCACCGTTTAGGAAAACCTAGTTAGGGTCACTAGGAGTTAGAACCAACTTGATGGCTGTGAAGATCTTCAGCTGCCTTCATGCCCGTTAGCAGGATTCTTTGCCATTGGAAAACAGTATGTGTGTGTGGAATCAGTGTATTTTCATCATGTGGGGTCGCACCAAGAGTCAAATAAATGGCACGAGAAGCACTAATGTTGCTAGGTTGACTATCCCATACTTCAACATTGGAACATTTTTCCAGAAGGGTAAATGAACAAATTGTTTGCATTTAGCATTGGGGAATTCTAGGAGAATCGGTTTCTGGGAAGAGTAGAAACAAGATGCAGAAGACTTTGCACTTGCTCCTGAAAGGATCTGCATTTGAATTGTGTAGCTGGAGACGAATATTGAAAACCAGGGACTACTAAACGGACAAACCAATCTATCTCGGAAGCAGTATGGCCAGAGTGCTCCTTAGAGGCGTGGGTGGCAAGACTTCATCTTATGTACTTTGGACCTGTTGTCAGGATAGACCAGTGCCCGGAGAAGGACCTTATGTTTGGAAAAGGGAAGGGCAGCAACAAGTAGAAAGCCCTCGGTGAGATGGAGTGACACCGTGGTTGCATCCATGGGCTGAGGCAAAGGAACACTTGTGAGGATGGCACAGGACCGGGAAGTGGTTTGTTCCTTGGAGCATAGGATTGCTTTGGGTCAGAGCTGACACCATGGCACCTAACAACAGCAACAATGAAAGGAGCTTCCTCGGAAGTAGCGTCCACAAGGACATACCCAGGGTTGATGTAAAGCAAAGGCGGGAGGGGAGAGAATGCATCCGAGTGGGAAACAGTGCTGAACAGTGCAGCATGGGTACATCAGACTGGGCAGATTACTACACAGGCTTCTGTTAGACATTGGTTAGACAGTGAAAGAAGTCCATGATGCTAAATGGAATTTTGGTTCCAAGATTTGGGCATTAAGCACTCAAAGGCTCCATTGTCTGGGCTGTGCAGGTTTGTGGTGATAATAACTGTTGTCTGAAGCACGGACAGGTGGTGTCTGCAGCCAGGTCATCAGTAAGTGGATGTTTCCTGACAGGACATTGTAAAAAGTCAACAGTGTCCAGAGAGGGGTTTATTTGGCTCAGTCTCGTGTCCATCTGGTAGGTGTCAGCTAGAATGCTGACCTAGGAAAGTGCCGGGCAAGCCTGCTATGCAGCAAATGTTTATTGAAGTAGGGTAGAGTAGTGGATTGTCAGGTGGCGTTAGAAGAGTGTCAGTTATCCCCAAACCCCACACCCACCGCCATCATGTCTATCACAACTCACAGCAACATTATATAGGGTTTCTGGGCTTTTAACTCTACTCGTCTTTCTCCCTCAGAGCAGCTGGTGAGTCAGAACAGTTGACCATCAGGGTTGCAGTCAAACACCTATCTAACACCTCCTGCCACCAGGGGTCCTTAATTATAGTACAGGTAAATTTCAAAAGATAAGTCAGGAGATCCCAGGAAGCCAATGAAACTACAACACGGTGTGGGCATCTTGTGGTGGGAAGGGGTTATGGAAAGATTCCCTCTAAGGTGCACAGGGAAAGAAAGCGTAATTGCACAATTTAGGCTCGTGGAAAGTTGTAATCAGACTCCTGTGGTTTCTAAATGCCCGTTTTTGTGTTTTTACTGGTAAACCACGTGGGTGGGAATTATGGAGACGTTGTCATCGGAGGTGCTCTTGACATTTTGGACAGAGAAAACCATGCACTTTGAGGACAGCTCTTTGCCTTACAGATGATTTGAGTCCGTGGGCCCAGTTTCTAAATGCTAGCAGCAGCCCTCTGTTGTTTTAACAACGAAGAGTGTTCCCCTACTACTGATGTCCTCTAGGAGGGTGATTGCATCAGCTCCACGGACATAAGGTTTCATAGAAAACTCAATCTGGGGGAAAGTTTCATACGCTTAAGAGATTTCACCGAACTGGCATCGTGAGAGCAGTGAGGTTCGGGTATTTTCAACTCCCTCAGTTAAAAACAAACAAGTGACTTCACTATAAGCAGATGTTTCTGACTCAATCTGATGGTGATCTGTACAGTTCACTTCTGGAGAAACTAGGATGCTCTGGTTGTCCCCTCCTTTGTCTTTTCCTACAGCTACAATGTATGGCTTCTCCAGACAACTGGTAGCCCCTCACAATGTGTGGGCAACACTAGACATCCTAGTGGTGGGCTGGTGCTATGAACTTTCTTCTTGCTCCCAGTAGGTTATAAGAGTCTCCACCCACCCACCCAGTCAGGGTGCAGTATGGCACCGATGAAACATACAACTTTCCTCTAGTTCTTTACTGCTTCCTCCCCAACCCCCACGATCTTGACCCTAATTCTACTTTACAAATCCAGCTAGACCAGAATATGTACACTGTAGAGATAAGAGCTGGAAACACAGAGAATCCAGGGCAGATAAAACCCTTAGGACAAATATTGAGAGTGGTAATACCAGGAGGGTAAGAGGAAGATGGGGAGCGGGGGGGGGGGGGACCAATCACTATGATCTATATATAACTCCCTCCCAGGGGGGCAGACAGAAGAAATGTGGGTGAAGGGAGACATTGGTCAGTGTAAGACATGGAATAATAATTTATAAATTATCAAGGGTTCATGAGGGAGGCAGGGGAGGGGAGGGAGGGAAAATTCAGGAGCTGATTCCAGGGGCTTGGGTGGAAAAAGAATATTTTGAAAAGGATGATGGTGGCAGATGTGCAAATGTGCTCGACACAATGGATGGATGTATGGATTGTGATGAGTTATATGAGCCCTCAATAAAATGATTAAAAAAGAGATCTCCCCCCCACCCCGCATTTAACCAGGTACACCATCGAGTTTAAGGGGGTAAAGGATCATTTCTATTTAATCTGCCTTCCCAACACTTCAGAACAAACACCAGCATCCATATGATACAAGGTAAAGGACAGGTGAGCTGTATCAAAGGCGAAGACTCTTCTCTTTGGTTCCTCCTTTGACTTATTCATATCTGCCAAGCTTTTTAATGTTTCAAACTCAGTCAAGTGGCAGGAGCTAGAGAACACGAATGGTGACAGAATGGAGAAGCAAAGATGGGGGGCTTAGTAAGGAACATAATCCGGGAGCATATTGTTAATAACTGACTGCCTCTCTTTCTGGGCAATCAGTAAGAGAACTGCCATTAAAACAAAACTTGGGGAAAATGTTGGGGCTTTCTACTCTTGTAATGAGTTAGTCTCAGAAACCCACAGGGACAGTTCTACCCTGTCCTACAGGGTCATTATGAGTCAGTATTGACTTAATGGCAGCGAGTTTCTAGAATTTTAGGGTCCTGTGAATGAGTTGTAGGAAATAGACCATTTCCATGGAGATTTTAGAGTAGCTCTTCTACTGGACATTTTAGTCTTTACAATCTGCATTTCCAGTTTTCAGTGATTATTCTTCCTGTCTGCTATGTCTCTATTTCACCTATTTTTCCCATTGCATCTACAAATGTGCTGCCCACTGTAGACCACCACCTCATTGAAGCACACTTAGTCTCCTCCACCACCAAACAAATTACAGACTTTCCCTCCGTTTATCCAGGCTCCTCCATTTTGTTTGGGTTGGGTTGGGTTGGGTTGGGGTGTGTGTGCGTGGGGGTTCTTGGAATAATATTCTCCTCTGTTCCATCTTACTGTTTTATTGGGCACTGGGAGACGTTGCTTAGAAGTTTGTATTTCCTCGAGTGTTGCCGTTTTCTGGCCCCCTTGAGTGCATGCATTGTAGCACCCCTTGAGTGCATGCATCTCGGAAGTTAGCCTCTGAACCTGGAGGGACAGCAAGTAGACTAAGGGGCTCAGGGGCAGGGGGACATTGGTGGTGGTGGGGTAAAAGGGAGACCATGTCAAGGAGTGCATGGAGAAAAAGAATGCTTGGAAACTGATCTTGGTTGTATAAGCAATTGTACATTCTACTTGGCCTGACTGAAATATGCTATGGAACATGTATTAAATCCCAACTCATAAAAAGAAAAGAACATTGGAACAGGGGGGAAAATGTGAGCTCCTACTATTATGAAGGGGCAAAAAGTTCATGGAAAATATGGAAAGAGAAGACAAGAGAACCTTTCCATGAACCTTTGGAAGTCCACACACATGTGTGCAGTGTGTCCATTCCATATCCTGTCTCAGTGACTCATTCCATGGTTGAGTTAAAGGTCTTCCTGAGAATAAGTACTTAATTATGCCCTGTGATGATCGCTGTAAAAATTCTGAAGGAAAAGACATATTCTCCTCTTCTAATATTCCAAAGTACGTTCCCCCTCATTGGAGGCTGCCAACCTACCTGACTCAGGTAGAACTAGGTGATGTGGGGGCTTGGCTTAACGTGGAGACCTAGTCCTTACCATTGTGTGTGTCTCTTCTCCTGGTAGGAAGATGAAGTGGTGCTTCAGTGCATTGCGAACCTTCACAAGGAGCAGAGGAAGTTCTGCCTGGCGGCTGAGGGACTTGGGAATCGGCTGTGCTTCTTGGAGCCAACTTCAGAAGCCAAGGTAAGGTTGACGCTCCCCTACCTCTCCTCCCCATCTCTCAGTCATTTAGGGGAAGGGCTGTTGGCAGATGGGGCTGAGGGAGGCGTTTTGAAAGGACCTGTTTGTTTTTACAAGGGAAAGCAGAGCCAGTTGAAGGCACCACTCTCCCCAAATCAAAAGCACGGATGCAAGAACTAGAGGTGCTCTTGAAGCCAGTGATTCCTCATCACTGTCCACAGGGACGGAGGTCCTTCTCATACCCCTAGCACTGGTCCTCTGGTTGCTTGGTCAGTCCTAGAAATCTCTTTGAGTGCGGGTTCTGTACTCTCGCTGTCAGTTTATTTCTACAAGGGCGGGTGGGTGCTTGGGTCTGCATATCAGCACCAGCACATCCTTTGCTCATCCCAACTGGGCTGAGGTTGTGGTAACTGTTTGACTGCTGTGCCCCAAGAAACGTTTCTCTGATCCCTGCCTGTGGGGGGACCTGTGACACTGTGGCTCTTCGGCTGGACTTCTCCCTTTTCAGGCTGTGTTTCTCTCTGCTTGTCATGATCTGTCTGTCAAGGGGGTGGTCTGTGTGCTGGGCATTGTCATTGTAATCATCATTTCTAACCATTCTTCTAAGCTCCGTTTTTCTCCCAGAACTTAAAAAAAAGAAAGAAAATCATCATTTTCAAAAGGTCCCACACCGGCCTGACACGTAGCCAACTAAACATGCACAACACAGACATCCGTGCCCAGCCTGAACAACCCCCGGAAACATGAGTGTGTACTGGGACGATCACCTCTCCCCAAATCCTTCCCTGCCCCCCCTCCATAAGACACTGAGCCATGGTGCGCACATCATTTGTCACCGTGCTGATAGGATAGAGTTGTGTTTAAATAAATGGCAAAGGGAACGAGACAAGGAAGGTTTCTATCTTTTTTAAAGGTCTTAGACTTGATTTCCCTAAGGTCCACCTCCTTTTGCTTCTTGTTCTTTCCGAGGTATCTTTCTTTTCATTCCCAGCAGTCTGGAATAATAGGAAGATCATTCGATTAGAAGCCAAGAAGTTAATACGCAACCATTAAGTAGTCAGGTGACCACAGCCTAGTTCGCAGTCAGGCTTGTTTGCAGTCAGCTCGTTGGTAGCAGGGTGCAGTGGGGAGAGGGTGGGCCTGGATTAGGAACTGCCCCACCCTGCAGGCCCTTGTTGGCTGGGGTATAAAGAATGGTTACAAGCACAGTCCCAGAGTCAGAGTCAGATGGGTTAGATCCTGTCTCACCACCTGTTAAGCCATTGCCTTGAAAAAGTCACCTCTCCTTTTTACGGGTCATTATAATAGTAACAATTGTATAAGGTTTTCATTAGGACTGAATAGTTAATCTGTTATTTGTCGATGACGTGGTAGCTCCAGGTAAGCAATGACTATTGTCATTCAACTGTAGGTCACCTATTTAAACGGGGTTGTAGTTTTTCCATCAGTTAAATAGGCGAACTAAATTTCAGGCGTACTGTGAAAATAAAGGAAAAAGAGTTCTGTAGAGCACATCGAATTAAACCGAATAAGAGCAAACACGACATACTAGCTAGAATTGATGGTCGTACTAAATATAACATTACTATCCCCTCTGACTTAGAAAGTGTGATTTTGTGTAGGCAGAGAAGCCACAGACCTGCCCTTAAACTTATAACATTCTGAGCTGTCAACTGGAGGCCTTAGATGAAGTAGTCTTTCCAGTACAAAACGGCTTAAGTCTGTGAACTTGGCTCTTTGGCTGCGATGGTCTTATCTCAGCCAGGATATAAACAGCTGCACCTTGGAGTCTCTTTGAATCGCCCCTTTCTAACAACGAAGTCGATTCCAACTCATCGTGGCCTGTCACACGGGGTAGAACTGCCCCTGTGGGTTTCCAAGACTGTACCTGTTTGACGAAAGTAGAAAGCCTTGGTTTTTCTCCCACAGAGTGGCTGATGGTTTTGAACTGCTGACCTGGTGGTTTGCAGCCAAACTTATAACCACCACCAGGGCTCCCTAGGTGCAATCACCAAACCAAACGCCCTGTGATCGTGTTTATTCGGACTTAGAGTGACCCTAGAGGGCAGAGTACAACTGCCTCTAGGGGTTTCCAATACTGTAATTCCTCAGGGGCATAGAAAGCCCCATGCAGTAGGGAAGGTAAAAAACTCTTTTTAACACTCACTTGACTAAGCGATGCCCTTAATTTTTTTTTAAGACTGCCACTATTTTTAGACATCATTAGCATATTCTTCCTATGAAAAATTGCCACATAGGTATTCTTTTTCTTCTTTTTTTGGAGATGATCTTAATTTTAAATTTACAATACAATCACAAAGCTGAAGAAGGTTTCATGACGTGGTCACCCATATGTTACCATCTTGTCACAACTGTGTCCATTTTGTGGTCTCATTCTTCCGGGGAGCAGCCAATAAATTGGGACCCGTTTCAAGAGGTGGTCATCTTTCCTGTAGTCAGCTCCCACATGCAAGCCTCTGTCCTGGTAGCCTGTCCGTTCCTTTCTCCTAATGCCCTAGCGTCAGATTTTACCAACCAGCTGAGCCACTCGGAGGTTCTTGAGAGAACTAATGTAAGCCGTGCAGTGAGGTAGGAACGTCTATTCCCCAACCTGGCACCGGGCATGGGCACAGACATCAAGTACCATTCCTACCACCACTCCAGAGCCACCCAGTCACCCGGAGGTGCATCCCACATCAGCAGTGTTTCAAGTGAATGTGACTCAGGAGAAGAAAATGGTTGGTTTCTGGGGAAAAGAAAGGCTTCAGAGATGAGATGAAATACGGTGCCCAAAAGATATCCAGGTGTCCGAGCCCAGAGAAAAGAAGGTTGTATAGAAGCAGGCCGTGAAAGGGGTAAAAGAATAAGGAGCAGAAATGTAAGACCATCACTGCCTGCTACAGACACAGAGGCTCTTGAGAGCGCTCTTGTGACCTTGATTCCAGTATCATGACCCCTTGATCCTCGAG